GTGAGGGGGGACAGGTGAGGGGGGACAGGTGAGGGGGGACAGGTGAGAGACAGGTGAGGGACAGGTGAGGGGACAGGTGAGGGGGGACAGGTGAGGGACAGGTGAGGGGACAGGTGAGGCTGGATCCCAGCGCTGCCCTCACCTGGGAGTGTCACCTGTGACACCTGAGAGCGTCACCTTGTCCTGCCCTCCCCCGGGAGTGTCACCTGTGTCCCTCCCTCACCTGTTGAGGTGCCTCAGGTGCCGTTTCCTCTCCAGGTCCTGCTCCTGCTTCTGCCTCCGCTGGGCCTTGAGCTGCAGCTTCTGCTCCCGGCGCCGCTGCAGCTCCTGCAGCTCCTGCTCCGACCTGTGCACTGCCACAGGTGGGACAGGTGAGACAGGTGAGACACCCAGGGGACAGGGGAGACCCCCAGGGACAGGTGAGACCCCCTGGGGACAGGTGAGACCCCCCTGGGGACAGATGAGACCCCAAACTGTGCCGTGAGGCCCCCCAGGTGTGTCACCTACCCAACCCAGCCCAGGTGTGTCCCAGGTGAGTGTCCCCAGGTGTGTCACTTACCCAGGCCGTGGTACAGGACACTGCCCTGGCCCAGCCCAGGTGTGTCCCCATGCCCAGGTGAGTGTCCCCAGGTGTCCCAGGTGTCCCCAGGTGTCCCAGGTGTCCCCAGGTGTGTCCCCAGGTGTGTCACTCACCCAGGCCGTGGTACAGGACGCTGCCCTGGCCCAGCCCCTCCTCCACCTTCACCAACTGCAGTGTCAGGCGGGGCCCGATCTGGGGACACGGGGGGGACACGGGGGGGACGTCAGGGGGCCCTGGGGGCACCTGGCCCCAATGTCCCCAATGTCCCCACAGTCATCGCAGTGTCCCCAATGTCCCCAATGTCCCCAGGATGTCCCCATTGTCACCTCAGTGAGCCTCACAGCACTCTGCTGTCCCCCCTGGTTCCCTGGTGTCCCCAATGTCCCCAGGATGTCCCCATTGTCACCTCAGTGAGTCTCACAGCGCTCTGCAGTCCCCCCTGGTTCCCTGATGTCCCCTCAGTGTCCCCAATGTCCCCATTGTCACCTCAGTGAGTCTCACAGCGCTCTGCTGTCCCCCCTGGTTTCCCCTCCCGGCGCAGTCCTGGGGCAGCTCCAGCACGTTGTGGGTCCCGTCCTGCTCGGCCTCGCTCTCCGACAGGGCCACCTCCCTGGGGACAGGGACAGCGGGGTCAACACGGGCTCATCGGGGTCACCATGGGGTCACCAGGGTCACCACGGTGTCCCCGTGTCACCCCCGTTCCCAAATGTCCCCCCTTCACGTGTCCCCTGTTTCTCCCTGTCCTGTGTCCCCTCCCCAATGTCCCCAAATGTCCCTGTGTCCCCCTCCCATGTCCCCAAATGTCCCCAAATGTCCCCAGTGTCCCCATATGTCCCCAATGTCCCCCCTGACCCCAGGAGCAGGTCACTGACATCCTGGGGGTCCCCAATGTCCCCAAATGTCCCCCAGTGTCCCCAATGTCCCCCCTGACCCCAGGAGCAGGTCGCTGACGTCCTGGGGGTCCCCAA